GGCCCTGTGTCTCGACTGCACCCCGCTAGACCCCCACCTCTCCCGCTGCTCCGACGATTCCTGGATCTTCTCCAGGTAAACGATGGTTTGGGGGCGAAGGCGCGGGTGTCTGGGTGGGGCAGGGTCCCTAATTCCTTCAACTCTGGGGCGAAGTGTGGAGTCGTTACTTAGCCCTTTCTCCACGGCCCCTGCCCCGGGCTTTGAGGGCTCCAAGGCTCCCCGCGGGCTGACAGGTGGGGGAAGGTAACAGCTCTAGCTCGGCAAAGAAGGTGTTGGAGAGTCAGATGCGGGCGCCCGATGTCTTCTCTCCCACCCACCCCATCCTCCTTGCGGGTTCCCTGCCCCCTCCCCGCCCCTCCTCCACTACCACAATTTGAAGTCCCTTTATGGGGGAGAGAGGGGATGCCACGCACCTATTCGCATTCTCCTGATCCTTTCTTAAGGGAGTTTGGGCGGTAGGGATGTGAATTTTTATACAGTGCATCCTGTCTTCACTTCGAGAGCTTCTTTTTCTCTTACGGGCCGTCTGTCAGGCGGCGGGACATAGAACAGTGAGGGAGGGACCTCTACCCTTCCTCTCGCTGCCTCAGGATCCCCGGCCTGACTCTTTAAAAGGCAGCCCACGGTCAAAGACGGGACCTCAAAGAGATGCCCGAGTCCCGCGGTCGCGTCCTCGCGGAGAGATCTGCTCTGAGTGCCGTGTTTACTGCTATCCTCACCTTTGACAGCCAGGAAGTGTGAACTGGGTGCCCTCAGCTAACTCAGAGTCCACTGAAGAAAAGGACCAGGACCAGGCTGGGCCTCAGGCAGAGAGAACTGGCGGTGAGTAGAGGCAGAAGCACGGGGTGGGGAAAGGAGAAGACAAGAATGAGGAAGATGAAGAAAGCTCAGCCAAAGACTTGAGTTCAGTGAGTGAGAGTGTGTGTGTGTGAGTGTGTGTGTGTGAGTGTGTGTGTGTGTGTGTGTGTGTGTGTGTGTGTGTGTGTCTTGGGAAGAGTAAATTCAAATGAGAGGATGACCTTAACCTCTTCAACTTTTTCCTTTCTCTGACTACAGATCTGGATCAGAGTTGGGGGTGAGTGACCAAAGATCCCAGCAGCACCTGACGGTTCCCCTCCCTTCCACCTCATGCACAATGTGGAAGGAAAGTGACGTTTACTCACTTGAACTGCTTTTCTCTGAGCACCCTCTTGGAGATAAAGGACTCTGAGAGACCCCTGGTCCCCTACCAAAGTATTCTCAGTACTTGTACCATCAAAGAATATGAACAGAAATGCTCCCCACTGCTCACTGGTCGTCTTCTTGGTCTACAGAGAAGGACCCTGAGATCAGCGAGGAGGACATCCGTCTGTGGTCCTTCAGCAAGCAGGGAGAGTGTCCGAGGCCAGCTTCCCAGCCTCCCCATCCTCAGTCCAACGCTCTTCTCTCTCCCCTCTCTCCTTCTGCTTGTGCCTTCCGTCCTGTGATGAACCGAGGAGAGGGGAGCTGAAGCAGGCTGCTGCCTGTGCATGACTATGTTGTTATGAGAACCCCAGTGTGTGCGTTTCCTCCCTTCTCTGTTGAAACCTTTGCTTGGCTTGGCTTCTCCCCAAGCACGGATACAGCTCCCTTTGGAGTGGCGAGTGGAGAGGCTGAGATGGAGGGCTCTATTCTCATGGCAAGAGTTCTCTATTCCAACCCATCTAACCCAGAACCAGCCTGGGTCCGAGAGCCTAGGCCGCTGGGGTGGTGCTGTTAGGGCAGACTTGTGGAACAGCAGACCTGTAGGCATATTATAACAGAAGTCAGGGAGCAATTCGGAGAGGACTGTGACTATGCTCCTGCTGCCTGTCATGTAGCTAGCTGCATTCCTTTAGCCTTGACTGTCTAGGCCCAGATGGTCCCCCTTAACAATGTGTGGGGCCAAACTGACTGTGTCTGGCCTGTGTTTTAAAAATACACTGTGATTCCAACTTGCTTCAAGGGCTTCAGGGCCGTCATGTCTGGCAGAAGACTGGTGTAGTCAAGGACACTTTCAGCTCTACCTGCTCTTCTCAGACCCCCTCCTTCCCAGAACGTTCTTGTATAAACCTGCCTGACAACATATGACGTAATTCTTGTATTCTGTGTAACCAATCAGGTAATAACCTGCTATCAGCTTTGTACTTTCCACTTGCAAACTGTATTTAAACTGAACTCAACCTGACTCTGGGCTGGTGATTTGAGCCTCTATGTTCCCCAGCCAGCTAGAGTAACAAAAGTTGCCTTTTAACTCCTTGGTGCAAAGTCTTCCACTTGGTTTGATGTTGGTTTTTCTGCTACAGTGCCACAGTGGCTGGAGGAGGACACGAGGGAAACGTACTGAAAGTGGGCACTCGAGCCCCTTGTTGAGCTTTCTTGGGGCAGAGAGGTACTCCCCCTGCTCTGCAGCCTCCTACCTACAAATTTACAAGCAAAATAACCATTGCTTTAAGAGACCGAGTTTGTCCTACAGCTGGAGATTGCTTGAACACCCACATCCTAGGGTTGTGAAAATGTGTGATGTGTGAAAGGCACCCGGCACACAGTAAGCACTTTGTAGTACTGTCTTCTCATCACCTCCACCATTCTGGTTCATTCAGTCTTGTTCTGTCTCCGTTGCATCAGTCAGTTCACACATTCTTTCACCTGGTTTAATTGGTTCAATCGCTTGGCATAGAACTGACTGGGCATCTCTTATATGCCTAACTTCGGCTTGACAAGAGGCAGCAAAAGCACTGGGCTGGCCAGTGATGGGTTTGTGTGTTAGTCATCTGGGGTGCATTCAAATGTGCCAACTTTTATAGAGCTTGTAAAGACCTACAGGGTGACAGAGGTACCAGGGTGTGAGTTAAGTGTCTAATGTGGGGCACTAGATCCTACCAAACAAGTCTAAGTCACAACTTGCTTACATTATTATGCTTAAACTAGACCTTCAACAAAATAAAACACATTAAACATACATGGAACATGCTTTGAATAATGCTTGTTGATGGCATGTTAACATTTGCTAGGCTGTAGCCTAGGCATGTGAATTAAACTTCGTGGAGAACATTTGAAGATCATAGATTCTTTTAGACTTACACGCATTTCCATCTAGTCCTTTTGGCAACTCTTCAAGGTAGGTACGGTTCCTGTTCCCGTGTAACAAATCAAAAAAACAGGAGCCTGGCGAATGGCCCACAGGGTAGATTCAAGAATCAAGATTGAAATCTGGGATGTCTGATTGCATAACATGACCCTCAAGACGTTACCCAGCTTCAGGGAACAAGACAGTCCTGGTTTCCAGCTTTGGTTGCACAGAGGAATCATCCAGGAAACTAAAAATACCAGTGTTTTGATTCCATCCTTAGTGATCGATTTAGTGAGGTTTGGGCATCTGGACTCTAGTGACTGTAATTCTAATGGATGGTCACGGCTGAGGACAAATGGATAAAGATATCCAGAGGTCAAAAGAACTGCAGAAGTTCCATAAACCACAGGGAGAGCACTCTAAGTCTCCAGGAACTCTCACACCATAGAAAGGTTTGCATCTGACAAGGAGGTAGCTCCTGGGAGCCACAGAGTGGAATGGGGTGGGTTGGCCGGGGAAGGTTGGAGTGAGACCATTGCAAAGGGCTGAACTGGAAGTTATCCAGCTTTTTGAGATGCCACAGAAGAAGCGAGTTTGCAGGTACTCACAGGGTTCAGTTAGAATACTTGGCTAAGAGGTAAACATCAGAGGCTGGAACAAGACCTCTCAGTTTCCACCTGCGTCCTGCTGGACGCCTAGGAATGAAGGCTGCAGCAGCTCAGCTCCAGGGTCCGGCAAGCCCTTTCTTTGTTTCTTGTCCAAATTTAGAGACCTAGAAGCAAGATGCAGCTTCTCTAGGCTGAGGACCATGCTCCCTGGAAGAACTAGGACTCCAGCTTATTCCAATGTGATTGCTGCAACACAGGGAGATATATAAGACATTTCCTGTGGCGTCCTCCCCACCCCTGCACACATGGCCAGGGCTCACATAAGGCCATGGCACACTGCAGTGAATCCGTGCCTCCTAAGAAGCAGGCCACAGCCATTGTGCATCACCACCTTATGGCCGCTGACCCAGGCGTGCGGAGTGTCTTCCGGGCCAGATGGGAACCCAGCCAAGGCTGTGGCAGGCACTTACCTGGCTGAGCAGCTACGCAACCCCACACCTGGGCAGTTCTGCACAAAAGCCTCTGCAGCTCTATTTCTCCCAAGGCCAAGTATGTCTTAACCTGCATTCCAAAGGACAACTCGAAAGACTGCCACAAGTGTCTGCAAAGTGGTTTGAATTTCATCCTGTTCTTTTTTGTTTTTGCCATTAAAACTAGAATGTCATTTCATCCTTGCTTTGATGATATTTGGTTAATTCACTGAGGGCTCCAATTGTACATGGTGCTAATTGGTTTGTTTATTTAACAATGTCTAGGAAGCATTTTGTAAATTCTGCACTAACAGTTTAATCCTTGGTGTCTTGTGAGTCTAAAAAGTCAAATTCTCTTTTTCTCAGATGAGAAGGACCCAAAAGACACCCAGATATATTTTTTCCAGTGGCTCTGATGGGGTCCAGACCTCTTTAGAGAAAGGGGAAATACAGAAACAGCCCTTAAGGTAGTGAAATATATAAAATGTTGTCATAACAGAATTAGTTTTTTCTGCTTAGTGGGGGTTGTACACTCATTTCTTCCTTTTAAGAAGGAAGGGCTCATCTTCTGTGGATAATCTCTCTTGAATCCCCCAGCACCATTCACTTCCTGTTCAGTCAGTCCAGTGCAATAACTCAATGCAGATTTGTTCTACGATCCTTTATATAGCAATGAAGATAGTTAAGCACGTGTTAGGCATTCCAGACCAAAAGACAAAAAATGCACCTCTGCCCTCAGAGACACTCACTTTTTTAAAAAAACCAACTCTAATGCAATAAGCGCTCTAATAGACTCAGAGACCATCAGGGGTCTTATGGGTTGGTTCTTTTAGCTAAATACAGCTTTCATCAATAGTTTATAGCCAGGTAAGCTCTGCAAGAAAGATCTATCGATATGGCCAAGAGCCCCTGCAGGCTGTAGGTGCTACCCCAGCACCATGGTAGCCTCCATTCAAGTATGGCTGGGACACAGTCTTTAGCCAGATACCAAGGTTCATGTGCACTTGTGAACCATTTACAGGTGAGAGGTTTTGCAGCCCTGATACTCCAGTGTACCATATCCTGACACAGCTTGGGGCACAGCTCACCGCTACTGAAGGGCTGACCTTTGGTGTTTTGAGGGTAGCCCCCCTGAAAATACACTGTGGACAGAGGCAGCTGTGATTTGATTCATTTCCTGTCTGGAGTATTTAACCACCTTCTGCTCTTTCTTCTCTTACCAGAGAATTTTTTAAAAATTTAAACTTTGTCAGTTTTTTTAATATAAAAATTTGTTTGTGCATATATATAAGTTGTGTGTGTACCTGTGTGTGTGGTTAGTACATGTTGTATAGAAATGGAATCATACTCAGAAGGGGGAGAGGAAGAGGAAGTAAAAATGATTAAGATGCAATATGTAGAGGTAGCAGCTCCCCAAGATGAATGTAATTATTATAAACATATACTAATTTTTAAAAAGAAACTAAGAAAGGAACTTGCTTTCCTCACTAAACAATGCATTATAAGCCTCCTTCCAGGTTATTATATGTAGCCCCAAGTTGTTGTTGTTGTTATTATTATTATTATTTTGTCTTTTTGAGACAGGGTCTCACTATGCAGTTCAGGCTGGCCTTGAGCTCACTTTGTAGCCCAGGCTGGCCTTGAACTCGCAGTGTTTCTCCTGCCTCAGCCTCCCGAGTGCTGGTATTGCAGGTGTGCGCCACCACGCCCGGCCTTATTATTTTTATTAAGCTGTGTAACTCACTGAGGGGAGAAACCTCACTTTTTTAAACCACCCCCCTATTGATGGACTTTCAAGTTGCTCTTGCCTTCCTGTCATTCTAAACAATATTACAACAAATGTTCCTTTATGTACACTTACAAATGGACGCTTTTATTTCCATGACAGTTTCCTAAAAGTGGCACGATCGTAACGTATGCTGCCAATTTCTCGCCAAGTTGAGCTCTAGAACAGGAGCCTGAACACTCAGAAGGCACAGACCCGACCTCCCTTCCTTTACCTATGCCAACACCAAGTGCAGAGATGTCTCCTGGATTTGGCTGTTGAGGAGGAAGATCAGTGAAAGACAAGATGCAGTCCTGTCTGGAAGGCCTACCAGTGCCTACCAGGAGTCCCCTTGATCTGGAAGCCGCACTCTTCACTTCCCAGAATGGCTCCTTACCCTCCTTTTAGAGCAATGCTAGAGCTGTCCGTAATGTGACCTACTGTTATCCCTCAAGTAAGGAAAGCTTGCCATGTAAAACCTGCCGTTTTAGTCTACCAATGTGACATGGGATAAAAAGAAATAAAAATATGTAGCGAGGAGACAAAGGCAATCCCAATTTTGAAACTACTTTTGAGAAGACTGAAACTTCAGGACACAATCAAACTTACCCGGGACTGTCCACATCTGAACTCCCTAGACTTGCTGACACTTTTCAGGCTGATCGCACCCAAAACCCGTTAAAGGTACATTAAGACCACAGAATAGCTTAGTTGATAAAGGGCAGAAACACAAATTCCAAAGCTTTGAAGAATGTTTTCAAGCAAAACTTCTCAGATCACCTATCTATAAAAAAGATACAGTACACTGGGTCCCTGCCTTTGCCCTGTAAAATGGGCCATCCTTTCATTTATAAAATGAGACATTTTTGTTCTACCTGTGCGTGGACCATCACTTTTCTCCTGTCAGCCACACCCAAACTTTCTATAGACTTGCAAAGTTCACAGATTTCCTCCACCACCAAAAACCTATAAATATTCCCAGCTCCAGACCACACTGTGCCTCTCTCTTCAGAGCTCACACTCTATCTGTTTGTGTACTTTAAAAATTCTGCCTGAAAATACCTCTAGGCTTCTTACTAATGCGTCTGTCTTGAAAATTCTTTCTCTGTGGCGGAAGCCAGCGAAGCTGCAGCCTGCCCCGTGGATGGGGTGAGTTCAGGTTCCCCGTCTCTGCTTTGAGGGATCTCCTTGGGTCCTGTCTGGGGACAAAATGGTGTTCCAGAGTGGGAGGGAGGTCAAGGGAGGAGACATTCAGCAGCACCTGGAAGAAAGGGTGAGCTAATCTCTCGTCTGTGTGTAAATGCCTCACTGGTGGTCACTGTGAGGACAAGCCCAGCAGATGTGGAAGTGTCCAGCACAGTCCTGGGGCACAGGATTCTAAGACAGTGCAGTTTCCTTCCCACATGGCTGCACTGATGTGAGACAGTGCTTTTGCAGTTTTATGGTGTGAATTATGATTCTGACCCTGTGTTGGTTTGGGGCTTATTTTGCAAGGGGAACAACACAATACAGGACACATACTTCATATGATTATTTATATAGTCACCCAAGAACAGTATACAAAAGAGTGCAGGGCACACACCAAGACCAAGGAATCCAGTTGAGGGCCTGGATCCCACAACAATGCCCTACATGAGTTGAGCTGAATACCCAGAGCTCACAACAATGCCTCCCGTGAATCCAACCAGAGGCCCAGAGCCCACGACAACGTCTCATGCAGGCCTATTTCACAGAACTCCTGGGAAGGCCCAAAGGTCAGTAGTGGAATCCACAAAGTCTGTGCCAGCAGGAAGAAGGACCTGCGCTAGCAGGCTGAGGGATCTGCACTGGAGCCGGGAAGTGATGCTCAGAAGAACCACAGCTCCCCCAAAGGGCACCACGGCCATCCTCGGCAACAGTGAGGTCCCGAGCTTCTCTGACGATCAGGACGGCCGAGCTCCCACCAGGGAAACCAACGCAGCAAGCTTTTCCAGGAGGCCAGCAGTGCACCATCTTCCCCTCCGGAACCAGGAAGGGATGCTCAAAGTGAGGACCAGAGCTCTCCAAAGTGAACCGAAGCCATTCTCAGCGCCAGCGAGGTCCCAAGCTCCTCAGTGGATGAAAACAGCCAAGTTCATCAGGAAAGCCAGCTCCCCACAGCCTCTCTCAGTTCCCAACAGCCCGCCTCTTCTTCTCCAGGTCTGCCTCTTATGCTGCTGGCAACAGTCCTCAGGTGGGCCTCCCACACCCAGCACCACTCACTCAGTTCAGCTGGGGGTTACAAGTTGACCACCAGTTATCAATCCACTACAGACCCCATCCAAATCACAACAAAGTTTGCTCCAAAGCATCTTGCAGCAAAACTCACATGTGGGGACCAAAGCAAGCGCTGGACAGCTGAGGACCCTCTCTGTCTCGTGTCTCCGAGAGCAATGGAAGGGAAAGTTCCACTGGGTCTGAGGTTGCAATGGCGGCCACAGGAGTCGTGCTGACCACAGTGGTCACCCAGGACTGGGCCACTGTTTGGCCTCAGTGGTCAAAAGATATGTCAAGGGGTTTTTTGTTTTGTTTTGTTTTTGGATTTTTTAAGAGAATCTTTGACTCTAGCAGCCTCAAAGACAGAACCAGGAACCGTTAGAGGCAGTCATCACTTGATCTCGCTGGTCCAGGGCAGAGCTCCCTAGCGGAATCAATGAATTCCTCCACATACACGCCTCTGCAAAATAGGTCAGCGTAACCCCATCAGCTCACCAGCTCCCAGTGACCCCAGGCAAATCAGCAGACTGTCCAAAAATTACTTCTCTTTGATTCAGTTTATGTATTTAGACAGATACAAAGAGAATTTCTACCTATTATGTGATTCTTGACTTCAGAAGATTCAAATTAATGTGCTGCCCCAAGGTACGCAAGGAGAGTTACAGGTGACAGCCGCAAAGCCTCCAGCAGGCTGCTGGAGAACCAGCCAGTGTGTCATCTTTCCTGGAAGTAGCCCGCCCTGTGGCGAATCTACCTACAAAGAAACAAAAGTCAATTACCATCTTTGCCAAGCTCTCAACCAAAAGTCTAAGTAATGACTGCTGAGCGCTGGATTTTCTGGGCTTTGTTCCTCTGCTGTGAGGCTCTTGTGTGGTGTTTACCCACAGAGGCTCCGGTCCCCTGACCCCCAGCTGTGTACTGCAGGTCAAGAAGCCAAGTTAGCATCTGTTTGTCCAGGACCGCCCTGGTTATGTAAGCACATCACTTGGACTGGTTCAAGTTATTCCACAGGAAAAACTAAATAGTGATTAGGTGACATTGTAAAAATCAGCAAAAGAAGAGGGGCTCTTGCTGCTTGGCTCTGCCTGGTATCCATTTAATTCTAGCGCAGCGGTGGCTGTCAGCAGCTGGGTCTTCCCTCTGCTGGGATGGAGGGACACCAGCAAATGCAGAGGGCTGACTCCCTACCAACACAGTTCTTCTTCCCAGCCACCCAAGAGCCAGACAGGGCCTCCATCCTCAGCATGTGCACTGCAGGCCCAGGGCCCTCCATGGGTAGGCGTGTGCCAAGTGATCTCACGGGCACAGCCCACTCAACCCTTGCACCAATTTCAGGCGTCAATGGGTTCTTGTGCCCACTTTATAGAATAGGAAAGGGTGGTTCACAGAGCAAAAGAACCTGGTGACAAAGGGTTAGAGCCAGGTCATGCACTGAGGAGAGGACTGGACTTCTCTTAAATGCATGTCTCCTAGACACCATAAGGAAAAGACCCAGACCTTGGAGCCCACGGGCCTGGTTTAAATCTGGACTCTGACATTTACATAACTGTGACCTGGGACACATTGCTTAACTTCCTTGAGCCCTCAAATTGCCATCTGCAAAAAAAGGTGGTCCTGGTCAAAACTTTCTGTTTAAGGCTGTTATAAAGTGCTTAACCTAGAACCAGGCTCATGTGAGTGAATTTACTCAGCAAAACTGTATCTGCTGTTCTTCTCTCAGGTACAAAGACAAGTGCAAAAAGTACACCCCAACCCTAGAGGTCCAGTTGCTGTCAAGCCAGCAATGGCTCTTGACAGGGCACCTCCTTCTAAACGACACCTATCAACTTACATTCTCAGTGCAGTGATGTGTGTCACACCTGCTTAGCAACAGCTTCTCTCAGTGGTGTCACTTTGGGTTGCACAATGTATTTGCAGGTATAGAAGACATTGCTTTTCTTGTTTTGTTTTTGACTTCAGGAGGATTTCAGCTTATACAGTGCCCAATGCTAACCATCTACATCAAGCTTAGTTAATGCATCCTGAGCAAATCTGGGGTTAGTTATGGAAAGGAAGTGAAGACCTAGCACTTTCACAAGAGGATGATGGAGGGAAAGGAGGATAATGATATTAGAGTAACTCTGCAGACATGCTCTCTTCTCCAATGTGCAGGGGAGATCTGGTTTTGTCTCTCCTTCCTTCCTTCCTCCCTCCCTTCCTTCCTTCCTTCCTTCCTTCCTTCCTTCCTTCCTTCCTTCCTCTCATCCTCCTAACCAATCTATTATCATCCCATGCAACAGGATAGTCTCTTGCACAGTGAGATTGATTAAATATCTGGGGTGCTTTTGTTTTTCTTTTCTTGCAGTGTCAGGGGTGGAACCCAGGGCCTCAAGCACGCTAGGCAAGTGCTCTACCACTGAGCTATACCCCTCAGCCCTTTTTGTCTTATTTTGAGACAAGACCCCACTAACTTGCCTAGGCTGATCTAGAACTTGCAACCTGCCTGCCTCAGCTTCCTGAGAGGCTGAGATTACAGGCACGTTCCACTCTGTCGCACCTAGCTTGGGTCTTTTCACCCAGTCCAATAAACAGGTCCTGGAAGGTTCAAGTCAGGGTTTCTGCCCAGACACTCAGAGCACACTCGCTCCCTGCTTTCTGCCGCATTTCATCTCAGGTCACCTAAGGTGAAGACTGGATTTCCCCCTCCCTGCTCCGAACTGGGCCGCAAAGTTCCCAGCATGAAGTTCTGAAACCGTTCCTGCCACCAACTTTTTCCAGACAGGATTGGAAACAGACTTCCGGTCCTGTAGAACTATAGTCTAAACTAGGGTAGATAAGAAGGAAAGAGATTGGATCAATGAAATACTGGACCATTTTTGTCTCAGCAGGGACCTAAAGATCTAAAGGGAACCCAGGTGTCACCAGGCCACTACAGCCTGTGTCGCACTGAGTGGTATTTGTTCAAAGTTCCTTTTCTTGACCCCTTTTGCAACACAATCCTTTATTTACCACTACTCCCCCTGCAAAGACTTCCCAAATGTTTCCAGGAGGCCTTGCAGGACCTCGTCCTGTCTACTCACATGGAGTCATCTTCTCTTCATCTCCATCCCCTTGGTTCATGTCTTAGTCACTTTCTGTCCAGACAAAATACCTACACCTGTAATTTACAGGAGGAGAGGTTTACTCTGGGTTGTGGTTTTAGTCCTTCGTCAGCTGGCTCCCAGGCAGAACCACCAGGGTGGAAGAAAGTGGCCGAAGAAAACTGCTTACCTCATGGCAGCCAGGATCCGAGAGAGAAGGGAGGCGTCAGGAACAGGAACACAGCCTTCCAGGATGAATCCACCAATGAGTATAGCGCGCCGTGATCCAGTCACCTTCCATGCACGTGAGTCTTTCAGGGACGTTTTACATCTGAATCCCAACAGTCACCGCCCAGTGTCTTGGAGGTTTCCTTTCTCTTGCCCGGGTTGACAATGAGGACACGGTGCTGAAGCATGAACGGGTCTGACGAGCCCCCAGGCCCACGCCTGTGTTCAGAGCTCCATCAGGGCACCTGGAGAAGCAACCTGTTCCACTTCTGGCCTCAACACTTCCATTCCTCTCTAAGGGCACAAACTCCAGTGTCAGAGTAGCATAAAAGGGACACATCGTCCCCTCTTCATCTTGGTCTCTTTCTCCGTCCTTCACTCGTAGGATAATAATACAAACTCCCCTTCTTTAGCCAGAGGCAAAAGTATCAGCGCTGATCAACTTGTTACTGGAAGACTTTGGGGTAAGCAAGGGACTGGTTCTCACAGGGTCTTGATGCCTACTATGCAGAAAACCCTGGGCCAAATGTCATCTGAAAGCACAGGAGCGTGAGCAGTACTATCTTTTCCTCTGCCTTCCTGAACACTTGCTCAGTCTTTGAAGAGAGCTTCCCAGTCACATTCTGTCTCACATTCCTAGTCCAGCAGCTGGTAGCATTTATTGAACGCCTACCACAGGGTGAGAACCCGTTCTTGCATGGGCCCCAAATCCATCCTTATTGTAATGCATTCCAAAGTGATGCCCTGTCCCGGCATCACCAGGGTTGGGAATCACCTGTTCTGGAGAAGCAGCTCTTGCAGTCTGTTAGCTATCGCCTGTTGGTGGATCTGCACCACATGAGGAAATTCTGGAAGAATACCCAAACTCCCCCTTACAAAAGAATGAATCTCTAATGGTGGAAGGTCAAGCAACAGTTACAGTCTGGTGCCACCGTGATCTTGGTGTCACCTTGTACTCTTTAAATTCGTATTATACTGGCACACAGTTACAGTCATGTCATTATTCTTCTGCCTGCTGCTAAGTTATGACCTGGCCTGTAGGCTTAGGGAAAGCAAGAACATACAGAAAGAAAGAAAGAAAAAAACACTGAATCGGAATCAAGACAGTGCAGTCTCAGTTCTGCTGAAGACCCTCGAGGTGGGGATCCAGACAGAGACCCCTGAGAAGTGGAGGCAAGATATCCTCCATGTTCCTGGGTTTCCTTTCTTCCTTTGCAGTGGGAGGCACGCAGGCAAGCTGAACCTGTGAGTGCCACTCAACTCTTCCATTTTATTATTGTGAGCCCTGCAGCTGTCGTGAAGAGAAACCATGCCCAGCTCTCTGAGTGAGTAACGGGAAGTGATATAGCACTGAAAAATCTTCAGCTCTGTGGACTCAGGTACTTGGGCCTCAGTACTAACCAACTTTGGCTTTCAGGTCAGTTTTCTTGGGCAGGGGGTGCAGAAACAGCTCTAAATACCACCTCTTGGCCTTAAGATGACTCAAATGCTCACAGTCTTGTGGTAGGAATCACGTCTTTAAATCTTGTGTTCAAGCCAGGTTTGCAAAAAGTCCTCTGTAGCTGCAGGTTTATGGAGAAATATGCCTACTGGGGTGGCCTGATATCCATACATGTGGGAGAATGTGCCCTTGGGAGATGCATCTTTGGACCAATGCTGCTGGGTGTCTGTTTTCGTAAGGAAGCCCTAAACAAAAGCCTGCTTCCCTCCCAGCCCACCTGGGTCTCACTTCTGGTCTCTTTGCCATAGTTTCCTCTGCTTGTGCCCTGAGGATTTTTAACAAGTGTATAGTGCCTGGAATATGAATGAATGAATGAATGAATGAATGAAATGAAATGAATGAAAAATCTGAAGGCTGATCCCAACTTGCACATGTAACATCTAAAAACTATAGCAGGTTCAAGAACCAAGAGGTTTTCTTTTTCCCGGGAAAGCTGGCAGGAGGGCACATGCATATGATGCTCTTCAAGAATTTGGAGAACCCTGACCGCCGGCCCTTTCCCTAAATCTTGCTCAAGATTTGCAACAAGTGAATCTTTCTTGACCAATAGCAGGAAATGCAGGAAGCCTTCCCAAGAGACATTGTTGTAGCCACTTCTTTGGTTTTTTTTTTTTTTTCTTTAATAAAAAAGCCAAGAGGATGTTTATCTGAGGAAACTGCTTTAATTTGGTCCTGCCTAGATCCAGGGGACAGGGCATTGTAGCTTTGAGGGCCTCCTTTAGATTGCAGTCTATGATTATAATAAAAGGACTAAAAACTATTAGCAAGGTTCATGTGGTTCTTTGAACACAGCCTCTGGTCTCTTTCAGAGATGAGAGGAGGGACAGATACCCATCTGAGAGAATGGAGGGTTGGCCAGGGCTCTGCTCCACATGGACTACAGTGAGCTAAGAACTGGAGAAGCCACCGGGGATACACAAACTCATACTGGGAACACTGGCCTCACTTTTTTCTCCTAAACATGAGGGTGGGCAGAGGATAGAAATCCAAGGGGGAAGAATCACCTCAACTTTTAGAGAGCTTCCAACACTCCTCTGTGGAGAGACCTTGCAGGGCATGCAAAGACAACCTATTGGACACTGTTTTGGACTCTGGTGGCCTGTAGCCTCCTTTGTCACTGCTACCTAGGAGGATTACCAAACCAGAGTTCTGTGTACTCGTGCTTGGGCTCCTGGGATACACAGCCCAGCTTCTCTTTCCTTCCTGAGATAGTCAGGCCCTCTCCCTGCCTGGTCTTGCCCCTCTATCCAGCAGGGCAGGCAGTGTCCTAAGATGCCACTAGGCCGAGCTCCCAGAGGTCCAGGCCTTGCTTCCCTCTGCTCAGTGGGGAAGACAGCACTTGTTCTGAGCAATCAAAGTCTGCCATGTAAGATTTCTAAATAGAAAATGTCTCTGAGGTGAGCTTACTGCAAACCATAATATCAGTCTGTGCAGAGGCATAATCATCCCAGCCTCTTTTTGACCACTCATGGATTTGAGAATATGAGGGATGCCGAACACCTATTTAGAAGAATGGTGAGCCCAACCAGGTGGCCATACCGCTCTAGGTGCCAGAGGGACAAGCCAGAGCTTGGTGCCAATGCCCCCTGACAAACACATTTCCATACTGGGAACCCTCAAGAGCAGCTAAGAATGAAGAGACCTTCTGCACAGGTGCTTGCTTGCTCCTGTCCAGCCATTTGTCTTGGGGAAATGACAGGTCAGTTCACTTTCCCTCACCCAGGAGTGAGCTAATCAAGACAGACTGCCTTGCTGTGGTCTCTTTTGGGAAGAAGTGTGTGTCAGTAGCGAAAAGGAGGCACTTGATGCCCACTTCTTTTGCTTTAGGTTGCTTTTTGATGACTGCTGGTAACTTTCTTGGTGAGAGCCAGTGGATAGGAAACTGAATCCGTGATGTCCACAGTGACTCTTTTTTCCCCATGGGTTTGGGTGATAGTTTTGCTGGGCGTATAATTGCAGGTCCAATATTCTCCCCATCCCCACAGCCTTGTGCTTGCAGCCCCATTGCCCTTTTGCATTTAGCACTGTCAGTGAGAAATCAATTGTTACTCTCACTCTTGTTCCTTTGTACACAATCTTCCCTTTTTCTCTGGAAATTTTGTTCCCTCATCTGTGGTAGTTTTGCTTCATCTTTAGAATCAGGACATCTGGCTATTGGTCTTTTCTCATCCACCCTACTTTGTACTTGACCATACTACTTAATTTTTTGCCCTCTTTTTTTTCTAATTTCTGGCACATTTTCTTACACTAGCTCTCTGCTATTTTCTTTTTCTCCGTTCTATCAATTTCTGTGAAACTCCTTATACGTAGGTGCTGAAATATCTGGATATTTTCTCCATATTTCAACATTTTTCTTTTTATGTCTCCATCTCATGATGCCATGAGATCACATACTCAAAAGAGAATTCCTATTTTGTCTTCCAGTTCACTAACTTATTCTTCAGTTACATCCACTCTGCTAATCCAGCCCATCTGTCAGCTTTAAATTTTTGCTGTGAATGATCTAGTTCTCGAGATCTCTTTATGGATCTAATAGTTACCATTTCAAAGTCCTATTTTGCTTACATTACTAATATTTCCTTTGATGTGAAACCTGTTTGCTGAAATTAGTGCTTTCTCAATGTTGCTTCTCCATATATTTTTGGAAGCTCCTTGAAGCACTCTTGTTTGTTTGGTTTTTTTGTGTGCCAGGAATCAAATTCAGGACTTGCACTTGCCAGGCAGGGGCTTGTGCCTCTGAGCTATATCCCCGGCCAATCTTGTTTTTATATTGGGAAATCTCTGCTAACCTGGCAGTGGGGTGGCAGCGGGTAGAAAGACTAGGATGAACTCCAGTTATTACTTCAGGCTGCTCAGAGCAAGCAAAGGAAGGTACCTGCTGTTGGTAGAGCAGACCAGTAGGAACTGCAGAATTGAGACTCCCTTTTTGGTTTGTATTTGCTGCCTGAGTAATGCTCTGCCCTTATGACCTAAGCATCCAAACATCTCTACTGCTCACTACAGTACCTGCCCAAAGGGGTCAAACACGTAGCCATGGAAGAATCCTCCTGCCTGTATGATCTTCCTGGTGACCCCACCACTTTCCTGGTCATATACTTTGGCCTTCCTTCTGTCAGCTATCTTCTTCAGTGGTTCTTCTATGGGAACATTTGAGGCAGTACTTTCTTTATCAATCTGATTTTGTCTACTTTTCAGCTCTCAGGGATTTCTCCTGGTTTTGATATGTCACAAACAGCCTATGTTTTCTAGTATCTAGCACTGTTTATATTTTGAAAGCATTAAGCTCTGTCATTCTTAGGGATTTAGGATGGAAGGGTGAGATTGTCAGTTTTGCTTAGTCACCCTGAGCCAAAAGACATGATATGTTCTCAATAAATATTTGTTGAATGAGTGGATGGATTCAATGTTTCTTTGTAACTTTTATTTAAAAATTTTTCACACTTGAAAAGTAGACACTGAACCACTGACTTAGTAGGTGATTTCAAGATGCCTCCTCCAACCCTTTGAAGTGGGTGCAGAACTTGGTAGGATTTTAGGTGCTGGATGGGCAGCTTTTCCTTGCTCCCTCTGTTGTTCCAGATTTCCCCAGGATTGATGATTTGAGAAAAAAATCCTAATATTTTCCACTTATAACAAAGGCTCACACCAGCTACCCCCCACTCCTGATTTCAAATCCAACTTTGTACATCTTCCAAACTACAGAAAGCTTGGATTCTAAAGTGTAGGATGGGGCTCTGCCAGCTCATTAAGGGTGTGAAATCCATCTTTGTCATCACCTTTGAAGAACACATAGAAGAGCAGCACAGCAAGACTGTCTGCTCCTCTGTCATCTGAGTAAAAGCCAAGGTGCAGGTTTCTCCGCCATTCCCCCTGGCTGTCCAGGAAGCAGTCAGGGCAGCAGGCGTGCTACCACTTCCTGGAGAACGTGGACAGGCCCGAGCCAGGGTTCTGTAGAATGAAGCCCTGAATGGCTGGCGAGGTGGATGATATGATAGTATCATATATAACCGCCTAAAGACACAGGTACCCATATATATCATCCCATGAAGTTGCCATCTGGTTCCACTGGACAATCCTTTCTCAATAATGTGGCCATTTCTTCCCTCAGCTTGCCCAGGGGCCCGCCTGTCCCCAAAGCCCAGTTAGGTTTCATTTCCATAAAACCTCTCCTGGGCTCTCTTGGCCCATGAGGACTCTTTCTGATCTTTACACCCTCGCAGCATTAGAGACAGAGCTATTCACTTTACTGCCTCACTTTATAGTTACATTCAACAGCACAGAGTAGGAGGAGGGAAGGTAAACACACTCAGGAAGGTACGGAGACGCAGTGTCACACTATCCACGTAACACTCAACTCCAAACTACAGCTTCTTAACCTGAAGTTAGACATAAAGTTAAAAATGTCTTCATTAAAGAAAAGCAATTCTCTTATTCCCACAAGGCAATCCTGAGTTCTTAATGGCTCTATTCAACCGGGTAAGAGGCAGTGAGAACCTTACACAATGAGAAATGACAGCCCGTGCTTTGGAAGCAGAAAGCACAAGCCACTAGAAAAAGTTGAGAAGCAGCCACGGAAGGGTGGAGTTAGGATCAAAGAGGAAGAAGAACTTGTGTCCTGCAAGTTTTGTCTCCTAGGGCAGAGGAAGCATCTTTTAAAGGTCTTCGTTACTAGTGTCCAAAGGAACCATCTCAGAACTTACAGGGAATTATGAGTGTCTGTTGCTGGAAATCCAGCCCCAGGGCACCTCATGTTCAAACCAAGACAAATACAGAGAAGTCCAGCCACTTCCCCCTCGCATGAGGACACAGCCATGCTTTCTGCTTCACTTGTCTCTCGATGCCTGGTCAGAGTGGTGAGCCCATCTGGCAGGTACTGACACACGCTAGTACCTACACAGGTGCACGAATGTGTGCATGGAGGAATGAGTGCATTTCAATTCCTATTGCTTCCTCTAATTTTGTGAGCCTGCTGCCTTTCGTTAGAGACATCTTCAGCTAGGAAGCCCTATAAACAAGCCACAGTTTTGAGCATCAGTCTGAGGATTCCACCATCCTCATAGACCCCTTGACACCCCCACTGGAAGGTAATCAGTTCCTCCCTGGAGTCAATCACGTCCCAGGTAGTTCCTGAACAAAACCATGCAGGGCAGTGATTCTCTTTCAAATGCTGCTCACGGTCTCCAAGGCCTGAACCTTGCAAGCCCAGCTCTTGCGGGGTCTTCCTCCCTCTATCCCCACCCAAAGGATGGACCCCTGCTGGATGCTTTTCTGGGGAGAATGGAGAAGCAGTTCAGGGGGCTGCTTGGCCCCAGGGTGCCCAGGAATGCAGCCTTGGGAGAGGACTCTACTGGAGAAGGTGGTGCTTTGGCGAGGACTCATCCAATCCTCCTCATTTCACAATCTCCCAGCGCGGTCCTGACCTCCACTCCTACTCTGAGAGGGACAGCAAGGGGGAGGGGATATCTGTGTGCTAATGAGGCAGGGAGAAAGAAGGCGCTTGTCCAAGGGCCTGCAGCACCCACACACCTTCCACCGCAGTGAGACCTGCTTGTGGGCACTTCCCTGGTTCACTGTTTATGTCCCTGCCGATAACAAAGCAGAT